ATATCCTCCAACATCACATTAGAACACAACAATTCCAAGAATTACTAACACAAATGGACACTATACAAAGACAGTCAATTGACCAAAACTTACGCAAACTTGCCGAAACCGCAGGATTTGCAGATATTTATACACAAGATTATAGCGGATATTTTAAAGACATTGAAGACTATATATATCTAAACGGTGAAAAATGCAGACCACAAGATATTTCACCTAAAAATATTATTAGCTTTGTTACCCTAAAAAATGAAATTCTCGATTTTCTAGGATGGCCCTATTACATCTTAGAAAATTTAACTATTCTATACGCAATGTTTAACCTTATAGGATTTCTTTTTTCACTTTTAAAAGGAATCTATAACACATGCGCTATGGCGCTATGCACACACAAGTAAATAGACAAGCAAGTGTAGCACGCATACTGTTTGCAGGATTTTTTATGAATTTTTTCTTCATCAATAAACAAAAATCTTCTAGACGCACAAATAAAAGAATATAATACAAAAATAGCGACAAGACAGAACACGTACGACGAAGAACATAATAACATAGAAGTAACACCTACCGCACCACAGTTGACACCCCTACCACATAACAATCCATTATCCTTAGTCCCACATAATTTCCGAAATCTAGCAATAACACATAACCCAAATTTTAGACCAAATATATCGCAAAGTCCCATACAACATTTAATGACACATCATTCACAAGATGATAATACATATGAACAAATTATAGAACAACCCCATACCACCGCTTTTCAGTCTCAAAATAATCATTTTTTGAGCCCACGATGAGCTGACAACTTGGATCGCTACTCCGCTCAAATTCCGACCCAACCAACCTCCACACTCCAATCCCAATAATCCCACTTTTTGCTTTCCCAACACTCGATTTCCCAACTATTAATATATCATCAAGCACGAATTCGGATACTAACTCAGATATTTCAGTTTTATACTCCATCTCTTAATAACCCTAATTTAGAAACCCCTGACGAATTTGCAGACTCCGAACCATCTCCATCCAATAATTTTCAAACCAACTCCTCAGTTTTTTCAAAACCCCCTTTTCAACCAATCCAACCAAACAATTCACTCCCATCCGTTTCCACTCCTTCTTATGCTTCGCAAGTAACCCCAACCTACTCTCCACTTCATTCCGACCGATCATCTAATAATTCTCCAGATACCCCCCAAATTTCCCAGGAACTCGATAATTTTATCACCCTACAACAACAGTTAATATACCCTAACACCCTCACCATACATCAAGATTCATCCACAATAGAATCCTCAAACCCACCTACTCCTACACCCTCCTCAGCTTACACTGCATCATTAGCACAATCATCCACATCCACCGAAACATCTAATAGCCGTAACCGAGCTTATCGCACTTTTAAAAGGAAATTCCCGAACCATCCATTCCCGACCAAACCAGGAACAGCCTGCGAATATATTAATCATCCACAACACACCAACACGAAAGATTTTCTAGCAATCACCTTACCCTCATTCCCACAATATACATTAAACACACCTAACGACACTAACGACACACGTAGTTTTGTAGATGAACATATTTTAATGCCCACACTTCACTGGACAGCATATTACCATTTTACTAATCCCCTTTGCCTGCCACTATCTAGTACTCATGACGACATAGAAAAGAATAAAAATATGCTATATAGACTCACCGCAACAATAACACCTAGACAATTTACTTATGTAGGATATAAAAAATTACTAAAAACATTCACTGCACCTCGAGCTAACGAATTTACAATAGAATATTACGACCATAATATCATCCGAACTAATCAAGACCAATTTCTAGAAGACGACCGCTTCGCTAACCCACAACTAACAGAAAATTTTTCATCAAAACGTCATATGTATTCACACTTAATATTTTTGATAGACAATATGATCACATCATTTCTGAAGCACTAAATGATATTCAAGCTTAAGAAAGTTTCAAAGACAAATTTCAGTTATTTTTACTAATCTTTCACTTCCTTGCACCACATGAATGCGATTTGCACTGTTCACACGATATTATGTTACGCACTAAACAGACTCATACATATACATACTATCGCTTCATACAAAATCATTTTGATTTACATACTCCATCAAGACAACCACACCATCGTTTTCAGTTTCTTAACTCTTTTTTCTTAATTTCATTTATTGCATCAAGGATACTAACCTCCACGGCATCCTCCGCAATTATGACCCAGTAACACAAATGTATATATTTTGTCCCATCACGAAGACCTTTAACGCCGAAGAATCCAGACCCTTCCTTATTCCACATGAATTTATCCAGCCTATAGAAATCCCGATCTTAGAATTCATTCACAATACTTAATATAATCACAAAATATATAACCTCATTCAAAACACACTTTATGAGTTTGCAGTAGGCACCGAAGAACTAAAAACCATTAAAGCACTTCAATTACTTTGGCCACTGCTCCAAACTAAAAACATCATTCGCATACTAGCAAAGTTACTAACAACATCGGACATGATACACGACATCTTCCCCCACGGCTTTTTCCCAGACGATTAACAGCTAAGTATTATTTAAAAATATTCTTCACTAATAAATTTAAATTAGTACTAACCATTCTTTATTCATGTTTCTTTTACAATTCTAATCTTCATACCACGATCATCTGCAAAAAACAGAAAAGAAAAATAAAAAATATACTTGTTAAAATTCTTCTAAACTTCATTAATATTTTGCACAAAATAATATAATAAAATTCATACCAAATGTAGTAAATTAATTTATAAATTGTTTCCCCATGAAGCAGTAAATTTAATTACGATGAAAATTTAAAACTTAAAATTTTCCCAAAAAAGCAGTAAATTTGAAATTCTATATAATCAATTGACAAAATGAAAATGCAGTACTAACCTTTTGATATTTTTATTCACTCGCACAAGAATTCTATTCAAACTCGCACAGCTCGCCCACGAAGAATTGTTTAAATAATGATTTTGAGTTTCAAGTTCTAACACTCAACAACTCTAACACGCGATAACAAGTTTCAAACTTTCCTTTAACCCGGTTGGAAAGGAATTATACACTAAACCAAACTAACCAACGCAGCTTACTAAACACCACAAATCATAAAATAACAGCATGACTAAGAAAAGAAAACCAACGGTACCCAAACCGGATTAACCCAGTTTAAAACTGGATAATTCATTCTTTTAAAGACTATTACAAAGTCTAAGAAAGAAATAATAAAACGAAAAAAGTCGCAAGACAAACCCATACCGAAAACAAATTGATTTTTGAAAAGAGGACACAACCAAAAAAACATAAGAAAGACCAACATAAACCTAACATAAAACGTTATCACATAACAGGACCTCTCAAAGAAACAGCACGAAATCATACTCCCACTCCTGGCCTAACCCACCAGAGAGGACGTCCTGAGCATGCTCTATAGCCGCCCTAACCCACCGCGCTAAATCCACGCTTTGTGACCAATTTTCTATTTTTAATAAGAGGTACTCAAGGGTGAGTAACTCTTTAAAATTACCGAACTAAAACAAAATGCTTTTGTGAAAACAACTAACTAAATTCATGGTTAAAAAACCGAACTAAAAAAGTTTTATAAAATGTAAATTATACCTTGCAGTATATAGATCAACATACAACAACAAAGACGAACATCCAAAGACAAAAATGATTCCATCACACTCGAACAAGATTGGCTAACCACAACCGATATGCCGTCCACAATCACAACCCAAAGGATTTAGAGTACGACTTGACTTCGCAGAAAAGGACTTCATTGAACTAGACCAATGACCACCTCGATGTTCAAGTATACGTACAGATCCGAGTTACAAGGCATTCCCTCCACGCACAATCTCCACGCCATTCCCAGACGAGGTCGAACACAAAAGAAGTTCTCTACATAAAAAAGAAAAACCCGTCATAGCAAACAATTCTGAAATCAGATTGATTTCATTGGGAAACACCATCGTTGTCATAAGAAGACCCAACGATTGATGCCCCTCACTCCAGCGTCCTGGAACTTCTCTAACAAGAGAAACCGGACAAGAATATGATGTTCGCCAAATACCAACGTTCATCATCCATCCTTTGAATTGCAGAAAGATAATTCTAAAAACTCTGTAAAACCCGGATGGGTGGAACCTGATCTAAACTATATTTTATGATTGGATAAATTGGATATTTTACCACAGTAAAGTATTTAATATTAACCAATCATAATCCATCTAACTAACAACCCACTTATTTGTAAGTGCTCAAATTACTTGTAATTTCAGCACCAGAGAGATTTGAAGTTAACTTAGAAATTAGTTGCCTCTCCAAGAACACTTCAGCTGCCGCAATAAACCAGTATACCCTAGATCTATTGAGCCTAGCAGAGACTAGTTAAACACCCTTAGACTAGAAAGTATAAGAGTAAGATTAGGATCGGTATTAGACTAAGAAGTTGCACGAATCTATCCGGCCGAAAATAAGATAGCGTGACGAGCAGACGGTGTACCCTATCCGAAATTACTCTATGAGTTAACCACATCGGTTATAACTCACTTTGTTTTAAATTAATATCTGTAAAAGAAAATTCGAGTAGAATATAAGATATTGCCCAAAGGTTTTTGTATGGTAAAAAGGTTAATCGTCCAATTTTAAAGGTTTATTGCTTCTCTTTTGAAAATGGGGAGGAGCTTCGGGTGTTCCAAACTGCCTATTTTATTATAACTGTCGAATATGCCCAAGTTCTAGAAAAAAAAAACGTTTTTCTATTTTTTAAGACTATGGTCGGAACATTATATGCTACTTGCACAGTAACCGGCCATCCTTGTTTACAAATGGCGTACACGATTTGTTTGTGCTCGGCAAAATAAAAACAACAATCAAAATAGAGCAATCGATAACCTGAAAGATTCGAAAATTTCTTATCAGTTGGATAGTTTTCAAAATTATGACAGGCATTTGCTCGGAAGTATGTGCGGCCAGAGTACTACGAGCAACTAAACTACACCCACATTACCCAGTTCGACCAGCCGTGTCCGGAGGTGTTCCGCATCAAGACATTCAACCGAAAGTTCACCCAGGACGTCATCGACTATTGCGAGAGGTCCGATCTCTGGGGTCCAGGAGGCTACTCAGACTCGGTCGAGGTTAGTCGAGGCCAATTTTGGGCTCCCTTAACCAAACTCACCCGGCATTTAATCAGCGCTACGTTTGATTAACTTTAAAATAAATGTCTTACTGACCTAGTTATCTCAAATTGGGTCACTGTTATCGAGTCAATTAGTAAATCAAAAACTATTCTCAAAAAAATATGATACCTTGATATTTTAACAACCTTTAAAATGCGTACTCCTGGTAATGGGTTAACGTTTTTAATAAAAGCAAAAAGATAACTATGGCGTAGAGTGATTTTTTTCAGTCCATTTTACTACCTGAAAACCCAGTCCTAAGGGGTCAAATACTGCATCATATTAAGACCTTTTTAGTTGCGATTTAGATATTTAAGCTTATTGATAGCTGAAAAACTCAGTGTGGTTAAAAACCGGCCTGAGTTACAATTGTTTCTAAGTTTTTTTTTTAGCTAATGCTACGTATTTCCTGAAATCAAATTGAAACCCTAGAAAATACATGACATACTTTTTAAGTTAGTTTTTTTTCTACGCTTGCGAGTACCAATGCTAGTAACTTCTGATAAAGGCTATATCTAGAATTATTTATGTAATATTATAGAAATTCGACATTATCTGAAAATTTTAGTTGGCTTTCAAAACTTTAGGTTGACTTTCAGATTATTGGGTGTATAGTGTGAAAATGTTTTCTTGAATACTCATTTTTTAAAAAAACTTAATTTTTTTAAAAAAGTTTTTGTTTTTCGATTGGTTTTTGTCATTTTTCTAGTTCCTTCTGCAAAGGTAACATCGATCAAAATCCTCTTTGCTAATGAGAATCATAAAGTTTCTATCTTATATTGGTTGTATCGCCAGTGGTGTAAAGCTATGTCAAATTTTTTAAAGCAAAAACTGTGATCGTATCATTCTCTGCTACTTTTGAAGCATCCGGGTACACTTTTCACTCGAAAACTAAGATGGTATGGTTTCTGATTAGTCACCGACATCTTCATTTTTTCCACTAGATTTTTGTCACTGTTCTCAACATTTTTTGAGCGAAATCATTTTTCACTTAATTTAGTACTTTCTAGGTTTTTACAGAAAAACTTCCTAACGTTTCTGCACGCTCCTTTTTGTGTTGGTCGTATGCTTTTAGATTTTTTCAATTCAATAATTTTCTTGAATTGCTTTTTCAATTTTTGCTCAGTTTAACTCGACAGATGAAAGATAAACTAATTGGAACCTGATCTAAACTACATTTTATGATTGGATAAATTAGATATTTTACCACTGTAAAGTATTTAATATTAACCAATCATGATCCATCTAACTAACAACCCACTTATTTGTAAGTGCTGAAATTACTTGTAATTTCAGCACCAGAGAGATTTGAATTTAACTTAGAAATTAGTTGACTCTCCAAGCGAACTTCAGCAGCCGCAATAAACCAGTATACCCTAGATCTATTGAGCCAAGCAGAGACTAGTTAAACAACCTGAGACTAGATAGTATAAGAGTAAGATTAGGATCGGTATTAGACTAAGAAGTTGCACGAATCTATCCGGCCGAAAATAAGATAGCGTGACGAGCAGACGGTGTACCTTATCCGAAATTACTCTATGAGTTAACCACCTCGGTTATAACTCATCTGGTGCGACCATAAGTCTCGAACAAGACCTTAATAGCTTAGAATTAACCAAAAATAGATTAGAATTTAGACAAAACATTTTTAAAATGTTATACGACGATAATTTAATCGAAATGTCTCTACGACTCAATAGATCAGAGCCAATATTCCGAACGATAACAGAACTACCCGGAATTGGAAGAATACCTCGAACCAGAGACGACATACGACAAAGTAGAAACTTACCAAATAGTTATATGATAGTACGGCAAAAGCCAACACAAACTTTTATATTTAGAATTTTATTAGCAATGAATTTAGATTTTCATTTGCAAACATAAAATCTTGAAGCCAATCTTCATGATCATTACAGGCGCTAAATAAAATATTAATATACAATAACGATTGATAAAAATATCTCAGATCGTTTTCCTAAAATTCTGCAGTATTATATAAAACATGTTTGGAAAATATTTATTAAAAATCAAAATAAAAATTAGTAGCATGACAATAAACTGTTAGTAATCATAAAATCATCAGTTGTCTCAGCTTCATCACCTATAACATAACAGCAATCATAAGCTCACTAATATCATTCAAACACTAAATCTTTTCTTAAACAAATTTAAACCATTTTAAACTTAAATTCACTTAATTTTAAAAAATCAGATCATCAAGGCTTATCCTTGGATCTTAATTCATCTTCTATTTAATTAAATTTTAAAACTTGATCATCAAGGCCTCTCCTTGGATCAAAAAGAACAATTTTGTTCTCCCCCACCAACTTAGCCAGTGTCTAACGACCTCAAACGTCGATTCACTATCCAACCCTTTCTCAAAACCCAAGACTAATAGAAATTTTTCAACAAAACTAACCATTCAAATTAGGATAAACAGTGAAGAACTTCGGTTATTCATCCTTCACTTGAACCCTCCTCTTACCAGACCCAGGATAGATCGTAGACTTAGTAAGTTTAAAATAGTATCTAACGAACTACTCGCGTTCTAATTATACCTGAACCTTGTGGATCGATTTACTATTCTCCAACCCTTGAACACAATCACAACCCTTAAGTAAGATTAAGTAAGTTAACACCTTAGCTTATACTAGCCACGAGAAAGTAAAAAATCATTCTTCGGAATCGATATACTTTTCTCTCCAACCCTGAACAAATAGACCCAGGTTAAGCTAACCAAAAAATCGTAAGGACTAACAATTTAAGAAAATAGAAATCATCTAACAACTTTTTGCATCCGTCATCCTAAACCTTATGTCATTTAAAAATCTAGGAAACAAACAAACAATCGTTTTGCACAACTGTGAAATAGATAACAAAAAATACGACCTTGTAATCACACCTCACACACAAACAGTTGGACATAATAGAACAAAACGACAAACACTAAAAAGAAAAATCATAACTAAACAAAGACAAATAACACGAAAAAGATTTTCCAAAAATAGAAACGCATTCTCAGAATCAGAAGTCAGCAATTTAGACGAACTTTATAAATTAAAGAAATCTATAGATAAAAATTGCCCCATTCACGATCAATTATATTTTTCCGACTCAGAAACAACTTCGAATTCATCAAAAAGAGGAAAAAGAAGAATAAAAAAGCAATATAAACACAAACCAGTACATTTATATAATTGGAATCAACCAATTAGACATATCGATAATTACCTATTAACAGTTATTAAACGAAAAAATGAGCCAAACACACACTCCAAGTGAAGATAGTCCAGATGATGACGATATCTTCCCCTTCCTCGTAGATGCACCCACTGATAGAGGACAGCATATACTTTGCAAGAATTTACTACTAAATTTATTTGAACCCGGAATCAGCCCATGTAAAGCAGAGTTCCCAGATGTAAAAATCAAAAGACAAATTATTGATCACTATCTGAAAGATATATGTAATTTGACACAACACTACGGAATCTACACCATAGAATTCACCTCACCAAACCCGAATCACCGCAAATATGTAATTCAAACAGATGACCTTGATTTAGAATTTTCAAAAGTATTCTCAGAATACATAAAAAGCCTACAATATCATAACTCACAAAGAGCAAACTCCATATTCACTAATGAAGTTTTTGCCATAATATATAGTTATATCTCAATATTAGAGAACGAAAATCCAATCCCAAGTGTCTCACCGACAGAGACATCCAAACATATAAAGGTACGACATGAAATCACACTAATTTCAACTTTTCTACATATAATTAAAGAAAATTTCACTAAAGATGATGTTTCACAACATACAAAACATGACTTACAAAAAATTTTGGCATGGTTTACAATAGATTATTTCACACATAATATAGATTTAATTTCACAAGCAAGAAAAAATTTCAGACCTCAAAATTCAAACGATGATACCGCCATCACAGAACAGTCAGACTACGTTTGGGACCCCGAATGGTCTCATTATGCTTTTATAAATATCCCACAATCAATTGCAAGTCAAGCAATAAGTACAATATCTTATACCAGAGATTATCTAAGAGTAGTACCATTAACAATTGATGCAACACCATTAAACTACAATACATTTTTACCCGATACGCGAAATAACAGCTTAAACTCGACCGTCATACACAATGAAAACCTTAATGGAACTAGGAACCTCACTCAACAAGATATTCAAACACCATCACACTTCATAAATGAAGAAATTGTACAAACAACAACAACTACACAACAAAGTATTTCACCAATACGTCCAAATTTAACAACACCAAGAAATACAAACACTTCACAAGCACAGGTAACCTTACAATCAACCGTTAAACCTTCGGTTGCTCCAAAATATTCACATATGGATTATCAAACATATAGACCTATGACAATACCGTCAAAAACAAGCAGAACGTTCACAAGAAACACTTTTGCGGAACACAATTATAATTACGCACATTCATCAAAAACAAACTATCCCCCACGAAAAAATAATAATAATCAGATAAGATCTCGATATTGGGATAACCCAATGGCAACAACCAACTCAGTAAATTTTCAAACTAATTCACATCCTCCACAGGATCGTAGTGAAAATTACCCATTCTTTCAACAGAATAAAAATAAAAAGCAAGCATCTCATCAAACGGTTTATTTATCCTCTGATGATGATTATTTACAACCAGATATATTTGCACCATACACTCAAGAATATCGTGGACAAGGAGTGCAAAAACCGTATACAAATCATAGAATTTTTTCTCCACACCCAACAGATACACAAAATCAACAACCAATGCAAATGCAACACCCAATTAATGCACAATCTTTTCAACCAATTCAGCCACAAAATCAAATGATTACACACTCGTATCAACCAACACAAATGCAAAATGAAATACCACTTCCATATTACCTTCAACAACACGAAATAA